ATATATATATACACACACACACATATATATATATATATATATTATAAACTTTTATATATGTATAAATTAATGAAAAGGATATTCAGTTTGAATAATGTTTGACTTTTTCGCAAAACAAAATGCATTTTGGGATTACCTTGGAATATATAAGAAACATTTTGGAACTGAAAACTTCTCTAATTCTCGAAACTGTTAAGAGGAATCTTGGCGACGTATGGAATGGCTTTATTTGACCACTGTCTTCGTTTTGACTGTGTATGCAAAAATTGCATGCTTTTAACAACTACTAGATCAGCTTAAAGCCACAAAACCTCTTTTCCATGAGTGGCAACATCTTTGCAATCTCTGCAAAACCTTTGCTAAAATGAGCACTGATGAGCAGGCCTATCACAGCTCCCCCAGTAAGCTGTATGCCAGTCTATCTGTTTACATCTCTTGATCCCATATGAAAGGTATTATGCTTAGGGTCCCCGCCCTTTAGATTCTTTATTTCTGTACAGCCCAAGTGGGGATGTCACTGATAGCGCTGGCTTAATATTTAGCCATTGTGCTCTCAGGACTAGAGAACTTAGGCAGTATCAGGAAATGGTATAGACTCAGAAGCTGCTGTGTGCTGTTGAGCTGGACGAACTGGAGATGGTGTCTAGAAAGTTACTGATGAGAAGGCAGGGCCCTAAGAGTGATGGTGAGTTTTAGGTGGTTTATTGTTTGCAATAAACAATTTACTTTAGTTGTGTATAATGGAAATCATGCATGCGTGGCTGATAACCGAATGGATGATTTGTAATGATTTCTAATGGCGGAGTAAGCTTCTGTATTTAACTGGGCCTAGCTCCCATACAAGGCATCCAAATAATAAATTAGACACATTTCATTATAGATAGACCCATCTAGAAATATCACTGGGTTAGTTGGAAGTAAAATACCATTGAATAACCTAAGGGTCCATTCGCACCAAATGTGAAATGAAAATACAATACAAATCACAAGAAATAAATGCATTCAGAATGATGGAAACAGGTTATGAAAACCAAATTACTCCTGTACAGTGAGTGGCGCCAATTGACAAACAGATATTCTCCAATACAGCATATGATAGATTGACGATGATAGATGATAGATGATAGACACCGTTTAGCTTAGTGCTGACAACATGACATATCATTACATTTACAATTATGCATTTATCAGACGCTTGTATTAAAGGCAACTTACAAAAGAGGAAGAAAGTGATTCATCAAAGAGCCACCATATATGTATACAGTATATATATATATATATATATATATACTTAATTCTGTTCTGTATGATTTAATTTTTTAAAGACTGGTCGGAGATAGCCCAATCTGTTCGTATGGCCATAATGCTTCTGTGTATCAGGAAAAATTTTAAAAGAGTTGTTACTTCTATCTTATATATTATATTATACCTTATATATCACACATATTTTTCTGCAAGTGTTATCCAAAAGGATTGACAATGTGTGCCAGGTCTGAATAGGTCCATTGGAATCTATTGTTTTTATTCAAACTGCTGTATTCAACAAAAATTAAAGAGGTCATGAAATGCAGATTTCAGATTTGCATATTATGTTTCTTGAGGTTAGTTTATAAAGTTTGTAAAGTCCAATATTTGTAAAAGCTAACTTCAGCGCACCACATGCATGACCTTCTTTACAGCATGTCATGAGTTTTGATACTCAAGATGGCAAGCGCTGTGATAGAGCCGAATATGTTTGCGCCCGACTCAGATCCCGAGGCAGAAGAAATTGAAACAACGCAAAGCAACATAATTGTAACAAAATATCTACGCACAGACTACTCTTAACAAATTTCCTAAAAGTCGATGACAGTAAAACAATACACATTGTGTGAAGGGTTAAAAAAACTTGGAAAAAAAATAAAATGTATTCATCTCACATAATAAAAGTATTCAACTCAAGCAAATATTTCTTATCTGGCTATGTACTAGTTTCATTAGCAACACTCAAACAATGATACGCTTGGTGTCTTAGTGTTAAAAGCTGGTTTGCTTGGCACTGCCGTATCTTTCAATAAGATATGTTTTGAAAACTCGGATACATGTTTAGAGTAATTCACAAAACAGTCCATTGTGAAATGTGAAGAATATTGATGATTGGCTCTGCTACCTCAGTCAAAAGGATTGACCTGTCCTTTGAAATTGACGGGGTTCATGTTAAGCCTGCTTCATCTGTCCGTAATCTTGGTGTCTTATTTGACTCATCTCTATCTTTTGCCTCTCATATTTATTCTGTTGTTAAAACCTCTTTTATTCCATCTTTGTAATATTGCACGTCTTCGATCTTCTCTAACTCTAGCTGATGCTGAAATCTTAATTCATGCATTAATCACATCACGTCTGGATTATTGCAATGCTCTATTTCTTGGTCTGCCTAAAAAACTTATTGCAAGGTTACAGTATGTTCAAAACTCAGCAGCAAGAGTTCTCACCTCCACCAGGCGTTCTGCTCACATTACTCCTCTACTGCATGATCTTCACTGGCTACCTGTGGCATCACGTATTCACTTTAAGATATTACTTCTAACGTTTAAGGCATTAATGGTCTTGCGCCTCCATATCTGTCTGACCTACTGTACTCCTATTCTCCTGCCCGGTCTCTCAGATCATCTGAGCTTGGTCTTTTGTCTATTCCTCGTTTTCGGACATTTAGCGTTAATGCTCCGAAATTATGGAATTCGCTACCCCTTACACTTCGTAATATACCGTCTTTGTCTACATTCAAGACTCAGCTAAAAACATATCTTTTTAATATGTATTTTGGATAATGTGGCTATATGTGGCCTTATGTGTTTATATTGTGTATATGGGTGTACAAATGTTTTGTTTAGCACTATGTAAAGTGACCTAGAGCTATGGAAAGGCACTATATAAATAAAACTTATTATTATTATTATTTCAGAAGGGTTTTGGGCATTTTTTCAGTGGGTCAAAAAAAAAAAAACTTTTGTCCAGCTAGGTTTTTTTTTTTTTTTTTTTCTCAGCAAGGAGGTGAACCTAACATAACGTCAGAAGGCACACTGACACATAAACTACTTTGTTGAAATTTTCTCATGCATCATACTCAGAATGAAAGCTAAAAGCTCTTTATCTGCCTTTCATGTGTCATTTTGATGAGCAGATGTGTCTGCAGCGGAGAATGACATATTTGTGTGCATCTTATCTCATGCATTATCTGCACAATAGTTTAATTAAGTTTACTTTCTATCAGAAAGGCTTTCCTCTTAACAGACGTTTTTGCACCTCAACTACAGTGAGTTGATCTTAGAGTTTAGTTTTATATCATTAAGATGATGGCTGATTCTAGATGACTGATTAATGTATATGCATAGGATGAAAAGGTTGAAAAAATACTGATTCCCAGATGCATTGTTATTCTCTCTTTGACAATTCAGAATCGATTCTGAGCTTAGCTAGAGGCAGCTGTATTCTGCTTGCAGAACAAACACACACAAAACCATCAAACAAGTATATAGATTTGCATACGGTTTCATGAAGCAAAATACAAGGGCATTCATGGGCATTATTGTACAGAATATGGCCGTGAGAAATGCTTTGCTTGACAATGTGCGGTTGCATCTGCCAGTATTTCAGTGTTTGCCCTTCCAAATGCTCTACGAAGGCATTATTTGTTACCTGTTTGGAATGAAGTAAAAATTCGATACACTAAATTTATTTACTGGCAGACATCTGCTTTCAAATGCAGTCTATTGGACCTGCTGCTGCTATGACATCACCAGTAATAAATAAACAGCAATAATACTGAGAAAAAGAGAAAAATCCTGCCCTTGTCTGAAAAACATCCAGATACTTAAAGCACTCTGAGATACTAAATGCACTTTTAATGTTTCTTTGTTACCCTTTATATTTGCTTGTGTGTTTTGAAGCTATATTTAATTAGTTACTAATTATTGCTATATGTTTTATTATTATTATTATTATTATTGATTAGTATTATTATTTTATTTATTATTAATTTGTAATTATTAAAAAAATACATATGTAAGTATGTGTCAGACTCTGTTCCGTGTTTTGTGTGTGTTTTACTTCCTATGTTTCCTTTTGCCCTTATTTGGTCTTCCTGTTCCGTTTCCCTGATTAGGTTTATTTGTCCCAGGTGTTTCCAATGTTCATTATGTCATTGATTGCAGGTGTTCCTCATTGTGTCCCTCCTCTAGTCCTGTATTTAATGGTTTCCTGTTTTGAGTTCGCTGTCCGGTATTGTATATGTCTACCCTTGCTACGTGTGTTTTCCTGGTTCCCTGGGTATGATTAAAGTCTATATGTTTGAATTCGACTCTGCGTCTCCTCGTTCCTCGCTCCGTGCTCCTCACAGTAGCGAACCGTGACAGAATACCGGACCAATACAGAACAGTAAGTGGCGCCCCCTCTCCCCTTGTTTGTTTTCAGTTTATTTCTCCCCGCGGCGATGGAAATAGCCGTTCGGTTCTCTGCCTTAGCCTGCCGAGATCTCCCCTTCTTCGAGTACGCCTGGGAATTCTGCGGGCTCGTCGCGGCAACGGCATTGGATGACGTCACCATCAATTCTCTGTTCTGGCTCGGGCTCCAAAGTCAAGTTTGCGGGCCGCCGGCCCAAAGAGGGCTTTTGTTCCCGAGTTTAGCCCACGGAGGGCTCCTGTTCCTGAATTTAGCCCACGAAGGGCTCCTGTTCCCGAGTTTAGCCCACGGATGGCTACTGTTTCCGAGTTTAGCCCACGGAGGGCTCCTGTTCCCGAGTTTACCCCACGCAGAACTCCTGTTCCCGAGTTTAGCCCACAGACGGCTCCTGTTCCCGAGTTTAGCCCACGGAGGGCTACTGTTTCCGAGTTTAGCCCACGGAGGGCTCCTGTTCCTGAGTTTACCCCACGCAGGGCTCCTGTTCCCGAGTTTAGCCCACAGACGGCTCCTGTTCCCGAGTTTAGCCCACAGAGGGCTCCTGTTCCCGAGTTTCACCCAGAGAGGGCTCCAGTCCCCGAGTGTAGCACAGAAAGGGCTCCAGTTCCCATGTCGAGCCCAAGGAGGGCTCCAGTCCCCAAGTCAAGCCCAGGGAGGGCCACTGTTCCCGAGTTAGGACTACGCAGGGCCTCTAAAGACGATATTCTCCCCAAGGATTTTTTTTGGGGGGTGGGGGTAGTATGGGTCCGTCCGTAGTGGCCGGGCCAAGTGGCGAGGCCAAGGCCACGGAGGCCGTCTGGCCATGGCGTCCTGTGTTCCCAGCTGTAGTGGCCGGACCAAGTGGCGAGGCCAAGGCCACGGAGGCCGGCCAGCCATGGCCTTCTGAGTTCCCTGCTCCGCCATGGCCTCCTGAACTGTCTGATCCGCCATGGCCTTCTGAGCTGCCTGCTCCGTCAGGGCTCCCCGAGCTCCCTGTCCCGCCATGGCGTCTTGAACTGTATGCTCCACCATGGTCTCCTGAGCTCCCTGCTCCGCCTTGGCCCCTGAGCACCCTGGACTGCCTGATCCGCCCCTCCCTGGTGGCATTGTTACGGCGTGGGACACACCTTCCGGGAGGGGGGAGTAATGTCAGACTCTGTTCCGTGTTTTGTGTGTGTTTTGCTTCCTATGTTTCCTTTTGCCCTTATTTGGTCTTCCTGTTCCATTTCCCTGATTAGGTTTATTTGTCCCAGGTGTTTCCAATGTTCATTATGTCATTGATTTCAGGTGTTCCTCATTGTGTCCTTCCTCTAGTCCTGTATTTAATGGTTTCCTGTTTTGAGTTCGCTGTCCGGTATTGTATAGGTCTACCCCTGCTACCTGTGTTTTCCTGGTTCCCTGGATATGATTAAAGTCTATATGTTTGAATTCGACTCTGCGTCTCCTCGTTCCTCGCTCCGTGCTCCTCACAGTAGCCAACCGTGACAGTATGGAAGCCTGTTTCTGCCACCTGATAAAAAAAAAAAAAAGTAATTGAGACTTTTTAGCTCACATTTTTTTCTTTTTTCTCACAAAACTCACAATAAATGTGATTTTCAAAGTCAGCATACTCATAAATTAATAATTTAAAAAATGTAGATCAAGAAACATTTCAGAATCAGACCGTGATTCCCAGAATTGAAATTGGATCGGAACATGCAGGTGCCTAAAGATTTCCACCCCTAGCCAAAACTAGGTATCTATAACTTACCTTTTAGTGTTGAGAGCACAGATATGATGTCTAGGCTGCAGTAGGTTTTGAAACAGAGTGTGTGTTTCAGTGTAAGGGAAATGAACACTGTTTATAAGTGATTGTGTGTAAACAGTAAGTAAGATTACAGATCTAGTGTGCTTCACTAATATGTCTTTTACATCCAGCTAATGAAGCCAAATAACACATTAGTTTTAACATCAAAGAAAACGTAATGCTGTCCGGATTGTTTTGCACATCCTCCAAACCGTTATCGTATTAAACATTTACTTACAAGTTAATCATCCAAATTATAATCAATAAAAAAAACTCTAAAGCAAGTACGTACACTTGTGCTAACAAAACCTTCTTCTGTTGTTGCAGATACTGGTGCCAACACTGACATCTCTGGGCAGAACACACCCCTCTCACCTCTCGCCCGACTGTACATTTATGCCCTGCATGGGTGCCTCTGTGAGGTGGCGTTCACAGCAGCCTGGGATTGGTACTACACCCGTGACCACAGACTCACGGGCCACACAAGCCTTTGGGCGCTGCTTATTTACAGCTCTGCCATCTTCTTCATGGAGGGTCTAAGTGCGAGGTTGCAACAGAAGCACTGCCTCCTACCAGTCAGGCTGACTGTCTATACTCTCTTCATCTATCTATGGGAGTTTAGCTGGGGGTTTCTGCTCAGGCTGTTCGGGGCCTGTCCTTGGGACTATTCACAATTCAGGTATAACTTCATAGGTCTGGTGACGCTTGAATATGCCATTCCCTGGGCGTTGGCAGCACTTATAGCTGAAAAACACGTTATCAGGAACACTTTGAAGATACGGCTAGATAAGTAGTCAATATAAACAGATAATAATAAACTGTTTAACAGAACATGTTAAAAATCTTTGACTTTGTATTGGGATAGAGTGTTAAGTAGGCCTGATAAATGCTACAATGCTAATAGAGTTCAACAGTTGGGTTTCAGAAATAAAAGCCCCATTCATTTTCTCCATAGGAAAATTGATTGTTAATGATCATTTATTAACTTGTAAAGACAGACTTACTGTGAGCTACAAGGTTGTTAATCAGTGCTATAAACTTTTGTTGAAGCCAGCAGTCTTCATTATTCCATTGTTGTTTATTTTTTATTTATATATATGTTTTTTAATATTCCTGTTTAAGGGGCTGTTCACACAGAATACGTATTTGCGTCTAAAAACATGAGACACAGCACTCAGGAATGTTTTTTTTTTTTTTTTAAAAGCACAGCACAGAATGCTTCCTCCACCATGTTGCCGTCAAATAAAACAGTTGCCATGCCAACTTGCTACTGTAAGCAAAAGCTCACAAAGCTTTCCCCGCCTCCGGGGTCTTCTGATTGGTCCACTGTTGTGGAACTGACATTGATGAGCGGCGCTGTGTGTAAAAGTTTAAATTCTTTTAACTTGACACAGAGTCTTAAAAACATGGTGCTCATGTGCGCAACACTGCAAGAGACGCGGAGCCCAGCGACCATACACATGCGTCTAGCGTGTGTTAACATAGAAAAACTATGGAAAAGTAGCACATTGGAATGGGAAAACGCTTTCGGTGTGAACGGCCCCTAACTGCATAATAATAATAATACAAATAAAATAAAAAACTACATTACCCATGATTCTGCATAGAAATCTCCACCATTCAGAGAATTGAAGCAAGCAAATCCCACCCACTCCTGTGAAACACTGTGAAAGAAACTACCTACACTCTCAAACTACTTAAATATTTGTATATATTATATATATTTTGAAATAAGCAAATATATGTTCTTACAAAATATGTTGTTTCCAATACACAATAAACATACTTAAAATAATGGTCTTATTTATCTTTATCTGTCATTTTTTATTTAATTATATCATTTTCAGGACTTCATGGGATTGTCTCTGTCTTGTGATGTTGTGATTCACCTCGTAGCTGGTTGTTTTGGTTCATGGCTTACAACTATTTAACAAAGACATTTTAAAAGTCCCTTTGGGAAAAACTAATGGGAAAAATACTTCTAAAACCAAGGGCGATGAAAAAGTGGACCGCACTGTTGCACTAGATTGAAAAGCAAAAATAAAGCTCAATTTGAATGTCAAGAAAACATTTAGGTAGAATGCACATAACAACAACAATAATAATAATAGAAAAAGTTTATATGTATAGTAACTGCCACTACAGGCAAGAATTGTTAGCACAATACCAAAATTCTGGCTTTGGTATGAAACCAGCTCTGGTACCTCAGCATTGTTACCTTAGGCAGCAAATTATCAGCCTCACACGAGAGTGAAATAAAACTGTCAGGTCTACAAGTTCACCTTTTCCGTTTGCTCTGTTTGTTGTGCCGTATTTCACTTCTACAGCCCTGATTTTCAATGAATTGAGGGCAGTGAACCGCATCTCACATGTTTACCTCCATTTCTATCACAGTGTGGCCAAGTGTGTTGGATAGCTGCCAAATATACTAGCTAGCTTTAACCACGCATTACCTAACACTATCTTAGCTTTATACTCTATAAAACACCACTGAATAGCAGCATATTGTTGTCAGGTACCAAAAACAGCATTTTGCATTTTAGATACCAACTCGACGTACAGTACCAACACTGTAGCCAGTTAGTCTTATGTGATACCTGCATTCATGAAATTAATATAGGAAAGATAATTTTGCTTTAGATATATATATTTTTTTAATTTATAGGTGTTGAAGAAATTAAATTAAATTAAATTAAGCAATACTGCTGATTATGATGGAGACTTGCCCTTACATTAATTGTATTTAAGAACCTTTTTATGGACTTGCACTTTGTCATGTACAGAGTGTTTAAAGAGATTTAAGAGCTTAGTTTATCTTTATTATTTAAGGCCTAATACATGGACCATATGTTTTGACTACTAATGTGTGGAATGTGGATATTATGATTATTGTGGACATGATACTGTGGTGGGTACATAAGCATTACAATAAAAACTGCATTAGAATGAATGTCGTTATTAAAAACCATTTATACATTTGGTCCTAAACCAGTGTTCTTGTGGGTATATGTGTGTCAATAGGGTATCTTCCTGTCTGGGTCTTGGGCAACATACAAAGCGACACAATCAAGTGATCGTTTCCACTGATACCTAAAAAAGCCACACACAAAAACAATAGAGTTAACAAACAGCTACCGTCATTCACACTGATATAAATACTTGCTCAATTGGTTTTCTGTCACTGAGATTTCTTATCCCTTACAAACAGTTCTGTCACTTAGCACTTATTAAACTATTAACACAAATGCTCATTGAAGAACAAATGAATACCACACTCACGCTGTCTCTCCAAAAATAAGAAGGCAATCCCCTATAGACAGGTTGAACTCTTTGCCATTCATGAAGACGCTGGAGGACCCCTCCTAATTAGATTACAACAAAAAGTAGGAAAAGGAAAGTATAAGGCTGAAATAAAAATACAGGACAGTGGGAACATAAAAAAAGATAACGGAACTAAGAAATGGTGTAACCGGATGAAGGATAGATGAATGTGTTACCAGTTGCCAGATCCAGCCATCAGTTTTTCTTCTAGAGGTTTCAGATGTACCCGAACCAAAGAGAAACGTCTAACAGGCAGAAGGTCTCAGTCAGCATTGTGACACTTTACAATAAGATTACATCTATCTATCTATCTATCTATCTATCTATCATCGGCCACACTGATTTGCTTAACAAAAAGACTTTCTCGGTCTTTCCTGGAACAGGATTTTTTTTCTTTTTTTTTTAAACAGTCAGTGCAAGACCCATTTCTCAATACTTAGTGCAACTGTAAATCAGTACCTTTCTGTCCCGCCACTGTTGCATGAGTAAGACATAATTGGACAGGAGACAAACTGTGTGAACTACTTAGAAAGAACTGAGGTTCAAGTTGCAGAAGTTACGTTTCCTGTTCCTGTAATGGTTGAGTCTGTTTGACAGACAGGCTCTGTCTCCATCTACCTTATGCATACGTCGATACCTTGCTGAGGGGAAACTGCTCACAGTCAGACCTCTGATTAATGACCAGGATCTCATCTGACTGACTCCTGCAGGAAGTAGGACTGATTGGTTCAGCTAGGCTTCTTCTCCTCACCTCAGTCTCAAACTGTGTTCCAAACATATCCACCGGCTGACCACTGGCCAGGGCAGGCTTCTGCTTTTCCACCCACTCTCTGAAGCAGAACGGTGCCATCACCTTCATAGTGTTGAGTGAGTATGGGGTTGGCTTGATGGGTTCAGCTGCAAAAATTCAACAGTTACTGGATTAACAGAATTATTATACACAAGTAAGCACAGCATACAAAGGACACTTAATATGATGTTCAAGGGAATATAATGACATTGGTTTTGTGATCTTGCTTAAAGGAATAGTTCACCTGAAAATTTAAATTTACTGAAAATGTACTCACCCACAGGCCATCCGAGATGTAGATGAGATTGTTTCTTCGTCGTATCAAATTTGGAGAGATTTAGCGTTACATCACTTGCTCACCAATGGATCCTCTGCAGTGAATGGGTGGTGTCAGAATGTGAGTCCAAACAGCTGATAAAAACATCATGATAATCTACATGTCTCAAGTTTGACGTCTCATTCTGATGGCACCCATTCACTGTAGAGGATCTATTGGTGAGCAAGTGATGTAATGCTAAATCTCTAAAGTCTGTTTTGACGAAGAAAGTAAATTTTACAGAAATTTTCATTTTGGGTGAACTGTGCCTTTAAGGTGCCATGGGAGTGAGGCCTGACACTGACATTACTTGTTATTACACAAAACCTTCCGCTATAGGGAAAGAACAAATCATTGGTACAGAAGACCCCTGAACAACAGCGCTCTGCAGTAATGGCATGTTAAATGTAAGGGTATTTAACCTTGTTTCATCATGCATGAATCACAATAAACAGCAACAGTAACGTGAACAACTGTATTTACCTGGATCAGGCTTTCCTGTTTTATTTTGTTTGGAATCCATAAACCTGACGTATACAAATGCAACTTATTATTTGTACATACATGCATACGCACACAAAATTGACAGGACTGAGATACATATATATACACACACACACTCACACACACACACACACACTCACACACTCACACACACACACACACACAGGTTTGTTTTTGTGAATTGTGGGGACATTCCATAGGTTTAATGGTTTTTATACATATTGTGCAAACCGTATTTTCTATTGCCCTACACCAACCTTACACCTAAACCTACCTCTTAGAGGAAACTTTCTGCATTTTTAGATTTTCAAACAAAACTCATTCTGAATGATTTCTAAGCCTTTTAAAATATGGGGACACTCAAAATGTCCTCATAAATCACCTTCTTGTTGTAATACCTATGTCATACCCATGTCATTATACAAATTTGTGTCCTCATAAATCACAAAAACGTGCGCGCTCACACACACACACACACACAAACACACACACTATAGGTGTGCAGCAAAGCCAATATTTTAAACAGTATCTGTAGCAATATCAAAATATCTGTATCTGTATTTGGATAAAACTGAATATGGTGGTAAATGCAATTTACATGTATTTCTGTTCCCTTCATAGTTTACATATATCAACTACGCATTTTTATAGGGATGTGCCCGAAGCTGAATACCTTATAATGACTTAAACATGTATAATGAATTCTAACATATAATAGCAAAAATATATATTAGATGCAGTCACTACAATTTAGGCACTAAAATGTGTGTGTGTGTGTGTGTGTGTGTGTGTGTGTGTGTGCGTGCGTGAGTGCGTGCACATATTAAAAGGATTTCTGGTGAAATGATTTTCTAAAATGATCATGTGACAGGAAGACTGGAGTAATGCCTGCTGAAATTTCAGCTTTGACAACACAGGAATATGTTTTTTTTTTTTTTTTTTTTTTAAGTTTTAATTTTTTTAATTTAATTTTTTTTTTTTGTAGTGTTGATTGGCAAGCCATAATGCCAGAATAAAGCCCTAATAATGCGAATTTCAGAGCGGTTTTAAGTTTTAATGTTTTTAATTTAATGTATGTTTTTAAATGGTAATAATATTTCACAATCTTACTGTTTAACTGTTTTTTTTTTAAACATAAAAAGTCAATAATAAAACAGATTTATTAAGAGAAACACTGGTGACTTACTCTTTGATGATGGGAACAAGTTGGGTTCCCAGGTTCTCACAGTAGAACCAACGTTCAAACAAGACATCTGTACTATTATCCACAAAGTACCTAGCAAGAAGGAAATTAAACCATCTTTTTATTACTAACGCACATCTTTTATCCTTTATTCCACAATCTAGTTGTGTCTAATAGCATTGTTGACCAGGTAAGGGTACAGAAACATCAACAGGCAAGTGTATGATCTTGAGGTCACAAGTAATTACCAATGTGTCTTGGAGCTGACTTGAGAGTATGGTTAGAGGAAAGGTAGGCGTAATGTAGGATATATGTGTCTGGGAGAAGTATCCCATGGTACCTGAGGCCATCTGTCTCTGAGCGAAGCCTCCTCCTCTCCACCACCAGCCCTACTGTGTTTGCGTATCTCTGAGGAGAGTGGGGAATCCGCGCTGGAAGAAGGAACATCTGAGAATAGCGGCAAAAACAAGGCTTTTGAGAAATAAAATGTCTTTATAGACTAAAATGGCTTGACATGCAAAGCCTATCAGACAAACAGCAGAGCCATTTCAGAGGCAGCACACACTGAGACAAATCCAGATGATGCTCACCTCTCCTTCTCGAATGTGTATGTCTTTATGCTTGCCGTTCTCTACCACTTTCAAAACCATGTCGCCCCTCACCTGGTAAAAGAGCTGTGACAAAAAGGCAATGAAACAGGAAGTCAGTGGGAAGAATATCTGTGAACTGTGGATAACAAATATTTCCCTTGTTTCCCTTTGTTGGAAATCGTCAGCCTTATAACTGTAACCTGTATTACAAATGTAGTGCTGTTGTGTCAGAAAATATTTTTCTGCAAGTCTGATTTCAGTTATACCCTTGGAATGAAACTGCATGCTAGATGGGGCACAAGTTTTTCTTCCAAAGAAAATCTAACCCTGTGAACTTTATCTGATTTAACAACTTTACTGTCAAACCTTCACAAAGCTTAAATTACACTCAACATAAGACTTATGTAACATATTGTGTCTCAAAAGTAAACTCTCATCATGTGTGGAAAATCTAGAGCAAATATAGCCATGACTGAGATGGATGGTTTGCACTGACCTCTAGTGACCAATATTAAAACATTACCCAATGAACCAATGAGACCAATGAGAGTCCTGACTGGCTCACAAAACAGTGGGTAAAGAAAATAATCAACCCCTTTAAAATAATCACATTTTTGTTGCTTTGCAGCCTGAAATGAAGACGGACACAGTTTTTGTTTTATCCAGCTTTATTTACGCAGTGCAACTTATAACATCCAATATATGTCAGAAAAAAAATTAAATAAATACAAAAAAACTTGTGTCAGTATTTTGGTGAACCACCATTTGCTTTAATTACAGCCTTTAGATACAGCCAGTCTGTTGAGATACGTCTCTGTATCTAATAGCTTTGCACATCTAGACTTTGCAATATTTGCCCACTCTTCTTTGCAGAACTGCTCAAGTTTAGTTAAATTTGATGATGACCGTTTGTGGACTGCAGTCTTCAAGTCATTCCAGAGATTTTCAATGGGGTTTAAGTCTGGGCTCTGACTAGGCCATGCAAGAACATTCACCCTTTTTTCCTTTGACCACTGTGTGCTCAGTTTTGCTGTGTGCTTTGGGTCATTGTTGGAAGGTAAACCTTCTTCCCATTGACAACTTCCTGGCAGAGGGCAGCAGATTTTCCTGAAGAATTTAAACACTTTGCACATATGTACGGTAAAATGTAAATTAAAATACAGAAATACATTGCCATTTTACATATTGCATTTTAAATTGAATTTTGCTACACATATGCTTCCATAGCATAAATGGTGACTTAATGTTCATTTTAGGGTGAACTAAACCTTTTAGTGCAAAATGAAAATGAAAATTCAATTATAAAATTTACATTTGACATTTTCTACAATAGTTTTAATATGCAAATTAAAAACATATTTTAACGCTTTATAAGTTGCAAAATTAACATGAAAATGTATTACCCAAATTGATTAGATATGTTTAACATGTCCAAGCAAAAACTATAAAAATATAATTTAAATGCTGTTTTTCCTAAATGCATTTAGACTTAGGGGTAGGACATTTGGGATTGCATTTTCATCATACTACTTGCTGATAATTGTAGCGAAATGCAGTGAGAATTTCAGAATGCATTCTGAGCCAAAGGTGCAGCAAAAGGGTTGCAAAATGGTGATTTAAATGTCTTATTTTTCTTAAATGCTTTGACACTTGCATATAAGCTGTTTCAATAGCATTTTTAACAAATCGGTTGAGATGCTAAACAAATCGCGATTATTTTAGGGGTAGGAGTTTATATGAATGTATGTCTGAGGGGAACTTACTGTCTTTAGAAAAGTTTAGATGGTATTTTTTCTTTTCATCTTGCCTCTGTATAACGCATATTAAAGTTCATAAGTGCAGATATGTCCCGCCCTGTCTTCCTGTTTCAGTTAAAATGATGTCAACACACAGAGTAACCCTGCGTTTTTCTAAGCATTTCAGGGGACCTTTAAATATTTCCTATGGATGTCAGCTACTAATAAGTACTCTGTTTAACACGTTTGACTATGTTTCGCATGTTTTTTCCAAGGGTAGTCCACAGATTCCACCTGGGCCTTGCAATAACCATGTTATTCATTAAATAATACGTTAAATTTTGGTTTGTTTTTCACCAAATCCTATCATATTCCACCAGAAAACTTGGAATAATAGACACGTCTTGCATGGGATCATTCTGTGATACTATTGCATATTTTTCAAAGCTTGGTGCTGTTCGCTCTTTACTGCTGTGGTATGGACGAGTGTGTGTGATATATTTTTTGTAAATTTCTCCTTTTGTGGTCCGAAAAAGAAAGATTGGCATACTGCATTAAAACAACGCCAGGTGAGTAAATGATGTGATTTTCATTTTTGATAAACTATCCCTAGGATGTTCATCTCTGCCTCTCAGCTCTATGCAGTCTGCAAAATATTATCAATGATCAAATTCATTTAAGATCAATTTCAAGAAAACAGTACTGCACCCTAGAGATGAACACTACCCAAAAATGCTGCTTTGGCTAAAATAAATGAAATGGTGAACCCTGTAAATGGGATTTCCCTGCACAAATTTCAGAGTTAGTTTAATAGTTAGGTTGAACTATGTATAGACAACTGAACAGAACCACAATGGAACCCACAATAGTTTATTTTAAGTATTTTCTTTCTTTTTTATTTTCATGTCAATTTCTAAGTAACCAGCAGTAGATGTTGAGCATGGAAGGTCAAGTTGTGCGTGAAGGAGCACAGCCCAACTTAGTCTCTGGCCTTGCAGTGCTGTTTGTATTCTTATTATATGATTTCAACCTCCAGTATCAGGAAGAGGTGGCATGCACCCTTGCGATTGAGGTTAGACTAGCATATTTGCCATTTATATATATGATAAAGTGAATTGTCACTAACTTGTCTTGACAGTATTTGTAAAGGACTTAAGTATTTTTTCACAAACATTTTATACAGTTGATTATAGAGCTGAATGATAACTTGCATATTTAACATTATCATGTAGTCATGTAATCACATTGCAAGTGTTGCAATTCTCTGTGCTGTCTATATATATATATATATATATATATAGACAGCACAGAGAATTGCAACACTTGCAATGTGATTACATGACTACATGATAATGTTAAATATGCAAGTTATCATTCAGCTCTATAATCAACTGTATAAAATGTTTGTGAAAAAATACTTAAGTCCTTTACAAATACTGTCAAGACAAGTTAGTGACAATTCACTTTATCATATATATAAATGGCAAATATGCTAGTCTAACCTCAATCGCAAGGGTGCATGCCACCTCTTCCTGATACTGGAGGTTGAAATCATATAATAAGAATACAAACAGCACTGCAAGGCCAGAGACTAAGTTGGGCTGTGCTCCTTCACGCACAACTTGACCTTCCATGCTCAACATCTACTGCTGGTTACTTAGAAATTGACATGAAAATAAAAAAGAAAGAAAATACTTAAAATAAACTATTGTGGGTTCCATTGTGGTTCTGTTCAGTTGTCTATACATAGTTCAACCTAACTATTAAACTAACTCTGAAATTTGTGCAGGGAAATCCCATTTACAGGGTTCACCATTTCATTTATTTTAGCCAAAGCAGCATTTTTGGGTAGTGTTCATCTCTAGGGTGCAGTACTGTTTTCTTGAAATTGATCTTAAATGAATTTGATCATTGATAATATTTTGCAGACTGCATAGAGCTGAGAGGCAGAGATGAACATCCTAGGGATAGTTTATCAAAAATGAAAATCACATCATTTACTCACCTGGCGTTGTTCTAATGCAGTATGCCAATCTTTCTTTTTTGGACCACAAAAGGAGAAATTTACAAAAAATATATCACACACACTCGTCCATACCACAGCAGTGAAGAGCGACCAGCACCAAGCTTTGAAAAATATGCAAAAGTATCACAGAATGATCCCATGCAACACGTGTCTATTATTCCAAGTTTTCTGGTGGTATGATAGGATTTGGTGAAAAACAAACCAAAATTTAACGTATTATTTAATGAAAATCCTGACCTTGGCTGTTGGTCTTTTATGCACGACTGTGTGTTCATTACATTCTATTAGTGCCACAGTTCACTTCGATTCACCCATAAAAAGCACACAAAAGAAATCAAGATGAATAAAAATTCAACATGCAATATATCTCCTAGAAATCCCCAAAAAATATCTGTGTACTTTCTTCATGGAGTATATCCAGACTGGAACTTTGGTTGTCAGATGACAGGAAGACTGACTTCTTGAGTGATAACTTCTTGAGATGAACACAACAGATATAATCACCTCAGAAAAGAAAGTACTTGGATTGTATTTTAATGTCTCTTTCTAATTAATCTTTACTTCTCACAACTTGCATGCTTTTGTACAGTCGTGGCCAAAAGTATTGGCAGTGACATAGATTTTGTGTTTTGCAAAATTTGCTCCTTAAGCTGTTGTGGTGTTCATTCACATTGTTTCTACAAGTATTGGCAGTGACATAATCTAGAAACAATGTGAATGAACACCACAACAGCTTAAGGAGCAAATTTTGCAAAACACAAAATCTATGTCACTGCCAATACTTTTGGCCACGACTGTACAAAAGCATGCAAGTTGTGAGAAGTAAAGATTAATTAGAAAGAGACATTAAAATACAATCCAAGTACTTTCTTTTCTGAGGTGATTATATCTGTTGTGTTCATCTCAAGAAGTTATCACTCAAGAAGTCAGTCTTCCTGTCATCTGACAACCAAAGTTCCAGTCTGGATATACTCTGTGAAGAAAGTACACAGATATTTTTTTGGGATTTCTAGGAGATATATTGCATGTTGAATTTTTATTCATCTTGATTTCTTTTGTGTGCTTTTTATGGGTGAATCGAAGTGAACTGTGGCACTAATAGAATGTAATGAACACACAGTCGTGCATAAAAGACCAACAGCCAAGGTCAGGATTTTCATTAAATAATACGTTAAATTTTGGTTTGTTTTTCACCAAATCCTATCATATACCACCAGAAAACTTGGAATAATAGACACGTCTTGCATGGGATCATTCTGTGATACTTTTGCATATTTTTCAAAGCTTGGTGCTGGTCGCTCTTCACTTCTGTGGTATGGACGAGTGTGTGTGATATATTTTTTGTAAATTTCTCCTTTTGTGGTCCAAAAAAGAAAGATTGGCATACTGCATTAGAACAACGCCAGGTGAGTAAATGATGTGATTTTCATTTTTGATAAACTATCCCTAGGATGTTCATCTCTGTCTCTCAGCTCTATGCAGTCTGCAAAATAGTATCAATGATCAAATTAATTTAAGATCAATTTCAAGAAAACAGTACTGCACCCTAGAGATGAACACTACCCAAAAATGCTGCTTTGGCTGAAATAAATGAAATGGTGAACCCTGTAAATGGGATTTCCCTGCATAAATTTCAGAGTTAGTTTAATAGTTATGTTGAACTATGTACAGACAACTAAACAGAACCACAATGGAACCCACAACAGCTTATTTTAAGTAATTTCTTTCTTTTTTATTTTCATGTAAATTTCTAAGTAACCAGCAGTAGATGTTGAGCATGGAAGGTCAAGTTGTGCGTGAAGGAGCACAGCCCAACTTTGTCTCTGGCCTTGCAGTGCTGTTTGTATTATTATTATTATATTATTTCAACCTCCAGTATCAGGAAGAGGTGGCATGTACCCTTGCAATCACAGGTTAGACTTTAGCATATTTGCCATTGATATATATGATAGAGTGAATTGTCACTAACTTGCTTGACAGTATTTGTAAAGGACTTAAGTATTTTTTCACAAACATTTTATACAGTTGATTATAGAGCTGAATGATAACTTGCATATTTAACATTATCATGTAGTCATGTAATCACATTGCAAGTGTTGCAATTCTCTGTGCTGTCTGTATATATATATATATATATATATATATATATATATAGACATATACATAATGTTCACTTCTTTTTTTGTTTTTTCTTTCTGCCTTTTAGACGCTTTCTCGACGTCAACCCTGAATGTGCTTCAAAAACCAAGAAAGGAAACGTGACTTAAAAGAAGACTGGAAAGACTGGACACAAAAAGAACAGTACTGTAAACCCGCAGGTTTCCTCTCTTCTGAAAAACTTAAAGACTTTAAAGACTTTATTTCTGAAAAACCTTTCCATTCTTTAAAAGTAAATGTGACAATGGACCACAAAACCAGTCTTAAGCGTAAATTTTTCGAAATTGAGATTTATAAATCATCTGAAAGCTGAATAAATAAGCTTAGGATAGGACAATATTTGGCCGAGATACAACTATTTGAAAATCTGGAATCTGAGGGTGCAAAAAAATCTAAATATTGAGAAAATCGCCTTTAAAGTTGTCCAAATGAAGTCCTTAGCAATGCATATTACTAATCAAAAATTAAGTTTTGATATATTTACAGTAGGAAATTTACAAAATACCTTCATGGAACATGATCTTTACTTAATATCCTAAAGATTTTTGCATAATTTTGACCTATACAATGTATTTTTGGCTATTGCTACAAATATACCCCAGCAACTTAAGACTGCTTTTGTGCTCCAGGGTCACATATACATATGTATGTATATATATATAGGTTTGGGGTCAATACATTTATATTTATTGATTTATGAAAGAAAATAATACTTAAATTAATAAAATTAATAAAAAGTTATAGTAAATACATTTATATTATTACAAATAAAAATCAATTTTGAATAAATGCTGTTTATTCAATAAATGCTTTTTAACTTTTTATCAAAGAATCCTGAAAAAAAAGTATCACAGGTTCCATAAAAATATTAAGCAGATTAACTGTTAACTGCAAAATATTAACTGTTTGATAATAAATCAGCATATTAGAATGATTTCTGAAG